CACTTGCTTGCCTCGTGTTAGTGTTTGACTGATTATCAAGCAGCCAAATAAGCGTGCAAACCAACAGGAACACGAGACAGTATAACATCCAATTCAATCAGTGATTTATATACCAGCAAGAGGAGGACGCTTGCTCAGTACGCATATATGAGTTGCACATGGAAAAGCCAATAGCATATAAGGCTAGCAGAAATTATTAACTTATTTAGGAGAGTTTTTTGGTAAACCGGAAAGTTTAAGTGTCAGTATTTATTTGTAGAGCGCCCCTGTCGAAAGGTAAATAACAGAAATCGAAGCGGCACTTAGCTTTAGTTTTTGCTGGAATTTACTGGGCCAAGATATTAACATTCCGACTCGAAACCCAGGATCAAATTTCAATATAACACTGTTTCTTTTCGTATTTTTTTTTAAAACTCACTTCACCCCAGGCAATGCAATAGAACCACTAAGGCACAAAAGAGTTACTGAGTGTGTAAGAATAAGAAAAATGATAACATAATTAAGGAATAAAAACAATAAAAGAAGAGGAATCAAGAAGTTGTGCAAATGTTATCTTGAAGTAAACAATGATCGTGAAAACTTTGCAATATATATTAATCAGAGTTATTAGAGAGAGAGAGATCGCCCTCGTGCGTGCGTAAGAAAGTGTGAGAAAGAATTTGAGAGGGGAGAGAGAGGGAAAGGATGAGAATGATAGAGTGAGTTGTATGAGAGAGATGGTGAGATACTGAGAGAGACACAGAGTGAGAGTGATAGAGACACAGAGTGAGAGTGATAGAGACACAGAGTGAGAGTGATAGAGACACAGAGTGAGAGTGATAGAGAGACTGAGTGAGAAAGACAAAGAGTGAGAGTGAGAAAGACAAAGAGCGAGAGTGAGAAAGACAAAGAGCGAGAGTGATAGAGAATGATAGAAAGATATTGTGAGGCTGAGAGATAGTGAGTCAGTAAGTGAGAGACAGTATGGGTGATAGAGAACGATAGCTTGACAGAGGATTCATGTAAGAAGAGTTAATCCAGTCTATACCTTAAAAAAATAATAATAAAAACGTTAATTCGGTTTTCTACTGGAGAAAAAAGAAGAAGCTTGCATGCAATAGATGTTTGCTTAAGTCTGTCTGCAGATATGAATATCTGAAAGCGCGAAAATAATTTAGTGCTGACATAAAAAGAAAATGTATATTGTATGCGCATGCGTAAAAAGTGTTCATATTAATGTTCGCGTGCCAGGTAACATATAAAGCGTGTCTAAAAAATAAACGCATCTGGATTTTTTTTTTTATTCATTCATCTGTATACAAATCTATCGTTACTCTAACCACAGTGTATATACGTGAAAGCATTAAACTGATGCAGAATCACTCTCTCTCTCTCTCTATATATATATATATATATATATAAATAAATAAATAAAATCATTGATACGTGCAATCAGAATGTATTCAGGAAAATAGAGAAAAATATGTAAACTTATGCTTACAATCATACAGTCGAAATTTATGGGACATGTAATGAGGAAAGAACATAAATATGTTTTAACATACACAGTGCATAGTGAAAGCAAAGAATACATTGGAAACATTGAATAACCTATATAACAAATTTTTATAAAAATATATTATAAAGGATAAACAAATGACTTAGAGTAACAAAACAGAGAAGCTTGATCGATGATAAACCACGTCCTGAAATACCCCGCATTAATCAAATAATATAGAATTATATAAGCTATATTTTAATATTTTCTGTTTATATGTTATTTTTATGGATACAACTTATTTGAGTAATTTTTTTTTTTAATTAAAACAATATTAATTACGTTTACCGGCTTGAATATTCAATCCATCTGCACGCTCCAAAAGTCTGTACCTGTTATTAATAACATATTTCGATTCGCATTATAATTTTTCCTGTGATGCTACCTGAATTTTATCAAAAACAGAATAATTTCCGTGCCTAAAGATGACCGAGTGTACAGTCGAAAGTACTTGTGTATTTAAGAAAGACCTTATACAGCTTATAATTAAAAAAAAAAACAAAAAAAATAAGGATCATCACATTCATCAAGTGATTAGTAGGTTAATGTATCCTTACAATTTTGTTAGCGAAAGGATGAATGATTCACTGTAATATAAATTGAACTGTGCGCATATATATATATATATATATATATATATATATATATATATATATATATGTCCAGGTCAGGACCAAGGAAGAACAACAAGAGTAGAAATAACGAAGGTATATTACACGAAATAATAATCCAAGATGTGGAAGGTGTTAGCATGACTGTCAGTCTGGTTTGGAGTGAACTACTATCGGCTCGACTAGATTCGACCCTCTGTCGTGTGAAGCGTAGTATACATAGTGTTGGGGAGAGTTCTGTAGTTATAGGTAAGGACCATATATATATATATATATATATATATATATATATATACACACACACACACACTGTTATTAATTAAACATTATTTTATTGAATATCCGTATTTGAGTAGATGGTCTCTTTATTTATTAAACAGTATATTTGTTTTATCACGTGGCCTGAATATTCAAGAAATATTATTAGAAGACTATACACTCTCCCACAGTCTAATCTAAATCGATTTCTCGTATATTCAATGCAATGGATGAAAATAAATAAATATATTGTTTAATAAATAAACTAAGCATCCACTCAAACACGAGTATCCGTAAAAATAGCTTAAATGTAATAAAAATGTCGGAATAAAAAATGAAAACATATATACCTTATATATTAGTGGTCATTGAAGTTAACAGAGAGAGCGATGGCAGAAGAGTAGAGAGAGAGAGAGAGCGATGGCAGAAGAGTAGAGAGAGAGAGAGAGCGATGGCAGAAGAGTAGAGAGAGAGAGAGCGATGGCAGAGTAGTGAGAGAGAGAGCGATGGCAGAAGAGTAGAGAGAGAGAGAGAGCGATGGCAGAAGAGTAGAGAGAGAGAGAGAGCGATGGCGGAAGTGTAGAGAGAGATGGCGGATGGTGTAGAGAGAGAGCGATGGCAGGAGAGAGGAGAGAGATGGCAGGGAGGGAGAGAGAGAGCGATGGCAGGAGAGGAGAGAGGCGATGGCAGGAGAGAGGCAGGATGGCAGGAGAGAGAGAGCGATGGCAGGGAGAGAGAGAGCGATGGCAGGAGGGAGAGAGCAGGAGAGGAGAGAGAGCGATGGCAGAGGGAGAAAGGGAGGGGAGAGGAGAAAGGGAGGGGAGGAGAAAGGGAGGGGAGAGAGAGGAGAGAGAGAGTGGGGAGATGGAGTGCGTGCTTTTTTATATACTAGACAACACGAAAAAACTTTTGTATGTACATATACCAAAATAAGTAATCCGTGTAATTATTTATATAAATAAGAGTGAAAAATATACGAGAAATCCATATATATATATATATATATATATATATATATATATATCTTACTGAATATAAATGTATGTATTCTTCAAAATGCGGAGTTCACAAGCCTCTCTCTGCTTTCGAGGTGATTTTATGTATTACCATAAATGTAAAATCATCTTTACGCAGATTTGAACTTTTCTTCTTGTTTCATACATATGCCGGAGTTTCTGGATATTCGCATTCAACATTGCAAGACATGCGAAAGGAAAATAAAAGCAAATTCTGAACATCTACGAAGAAAAATCTAAATTTACATTTGCACATATGAGCGTGATTCCCTTTGTTCGATTACAGAAAGTTGAGGAAATGTTTACGTGCGAAGAGAGACCTTTTGCAAGAAAACTGAGTGGTTTCCCACTAAATACAACGCCTTTATTTAGCTAGCGCTTTTCTGTTTAAACCTTTGCCTCGTCTTTTGCGAAATCATGGGAAAAAGCGCCCTGGGCGTCTAGTCCTTAACAAGAAGCGAGGAGCACGTGTTCCATTACGAGCAGTCAAACTTACTGAAGTTTTGCAAAGAAGATCTGGCCCGAAAGCCAAGGAAGCCAGGTTCCTTTGACCTGTATCAAAATCTGATAAAGTTATAGTTACAATTATTATATTAAGAATAAACGAATCAATTGACTAAAGATTAAAATACTGCGAAGCATCAGCCACAGACTCCAGAAAAGTTGGGAAAAGGTTAACTCACAATATTTAAAGATAAACTCGGCCAAGTTATCTATATAAAAAGTACAAGTCCTGTCCGAAAAACATAGACATGCAGGGTGTGGCAGAAATACATCGCACAGATACCTACCATGAACACCTCTTACATAATGGTAAGACATTAATAAATGAAGAAACCATAGCCGCCATTGTCCTACAATTAGGTGCGAGTTATTTCTGAGATATATATGTAAGATGTATTTCTATCGCAAAATATAAGGAAGAGGGAGGGAGGGAGGAGAAAGGGGAGATAGACGAGAGAGGGAGGGTGACGAAAGAGAGGGAGGGAGGAGAGAGACGGAAGAGCGAGGAAGGGAAGAGAGAGAGATAGAGGGAAGAGAGATTGATTAAGAACCTAATACTTATCGATTAGATTAGTAGGAGAAAGGGAAGAGAGGGAGGAGAAAGGGAGTTGGAGAAAGAGGGGAGTGATAGAGAGTGTGTTTTCATATACTAGACAACACGAAAAAAAAACTTCTACATGTACATATATCAATGTAAGTAATCCATGTAATTATTTATATATATATATATATATATATATATATATGTAATTATTATATATATATATATATATATATATATATATATATATATATATATATATATATATATATATATATATATATATATATATATATATATATATATTTATATATATATATATATATATATATATATATATATATATATATATATATATATATATATATATATATATATATATATATATATATATATATATATATATATATATATATATATATATATATATAAATATAAAACTGCATATATATATATATATATATATATATATATATATATAAAATATAAATATTCTTGAAACAAAGATATGTTGACCGGCTTTCTTTTAACATTCCAAAGAATCAGATAACGGTCGTAATTGGAGTTATTCAGTCGGAAATAAGATGCAATTGACCGTGTTTATTTATTATTTTGCCATCAAAATGATCACGAAAACGTGTTTTTCGAAAGTCTTCTCTCGTACGTTTGATCGCACAGATCTTCTATGCTACTCAGGTTTTCTTTTTCTTTTTTAAAAAACAAAAACAAAAGAAAAACGATCGGAGAAAATAGGAAATTCCTATTTACTTGAAATAAATGACTATAAAGATGCTAACGGCGATTGCTCAGTGGCACCGCCATTTTTTGATTCAATGGGATCCCCTGATTTACATACGAAAATTAACGACATCCACAATAGGAAACACACGAATAATTACTCAACACAATAGGTCGTATTTTACAATAATTCATGTCTACACTGGTATGTAGATAGCACTATGTACTAATTATTATATAACACATCATATTGGGACCGATATTTCACGATGACTTGAAAACATTCATTCTCTTTCTCTCATATATATATATATATATATATATATATATATATATATATATATTATATGTACAGTAGTTATTAAAAAGCGCTCAATATCAGAGATAGAGCTAACATTTGTTGGATTGATGTGAGTTTGTGACCCTAGGTTTCACGCTTTCGCGATCGTCGTGAAACAGGGGTCTGAAACTCATCAATCTAAAATATATATATATATATATATATATATATATATATATATATATATATATATATATATATGTCTGTGTGTGTGTGTATTATCAATCGAGATATATTTATCAAGATTAAAGAAAAAACTTCTTGAAATACTAAAGAGTAAATCTAATTTGGTGAATTGTTCCATAATTCTTGTTTTACAAGGGGTTTTGTTGATCTCTTGCTCAACCGTGCTCCTCACATAATAATCAAGTGGTTTGCAGTATGTGAAATTAGGTGGTCAACAGTATGCCACAATTTAGCCATCGCACCCTTTATATATGAAACTCTGGGAAAGTTTTATTAATAACATTTCACGAACATGCAGGCCGAGGACGAAAATAAATAAATCAATAAATATATTGTTTAATAAATAAATAATCTTATCTTCTATTCAAATATGAGTATACACTAAAAATAACGTTTTAATTGATAAAACTCCATCGGATTAATTTTCAAAAACCCATTCTAAAATTATCTTTGCTTATGTTTGAATACGAAACTGTGAACATATGAAGAAATTCGAGAGATTCTATGACGGAAAAATTTCACTTCACCTGTCGGAATACTCTTCGTGGCCAAGTTGGTTAAGGCGTGTCAAGCTTAACGGTGGTATCATATGCCCTAAGTAAGGCAGGTTCATATCCTGCCGAAGAGTGATTTTTTTTCGAATACACACTCACACACATACAGCTCATATACACACACATATATATACACACACACGCGCATGCATATATATATATATATATATATATATGTGTGTGTGTGTGTGTGTGTGTGTGTGTGTGTGTGAATGAATAATTTGGTTGAATTCAGTGATTTTGACACAAAGAGTTGAGAGTTCAGTTCCTGGCGACAGCAGAGGTGAACGGAAAAACTAGATGTTAAAAGGAGATAACAGGTACTAAAACATCCAGAAGAGGCATACCACGTGGAATTAGAACAAGCTACCCCGGTCGATGAAATAAAATTTTCAGATCTAAATTCCAATTACCTGAAGAAGTTCGGAGCGCATAACGGTCGAAATGTTTTGAATGTGGCAACGAAGATGAGGACAAAAGTGGAAATTTCATATATACGTCGCAGAAGTGTGTATTTTTTCAGCAGGCAACAGTTTGAATTTGCAGATTTTCAGGAGATTGAGAAAATATATTTTAAATGTCATTTTTAAATTTAAGACTTTTTTTTTAAATGTTGAGATTGAAAATTACAGCCTCTATGTAATCAGCAACTTAATAGGGCAATTCCTAAAAATTAATAGGGCAGTTCCTAAAAATTAATAGGGCAATTCCTAAAAATTAATAGGGCAGTTCCTAAAAATTAATAGGGCAGTTCCTAAAAATTAATAGGGCAATTCCTAAAAATTAATAGGGCAGTTCCTAAAAATTAAGAGGGCAGTTCCTAAAAATTAATAGGGCAATTCCTAAAAATTAATAGGGCAGTTCCTAAAAAAATACATACAATTGTCTGTGAAAATGTAGAAAGCAATGTCAACGTAAGCGGATCAGTTGCCATGTGTGTGTGCAACCAAGGGACGTTATTATTTTGCCCAAAACTAATAAATAAATGTTCTTATTTTTCTTTTCTATTTATGCAGACAGTGTTGATCATCAAGATGGCGAAGGTAAGGAATTACTTAGTCGAACTTTGCAATGAACTATGTGAAATAGCATTAGCGTACGACTTTTTAGAATCAAGATCGATCGCGGGAATCAGTGTTGAAGCTATGAAGAACTCGGTGTCCATCCTGATAGGAACCGCACTTTCCAATAATCGAAAATCAATTGCTCGGCGCTTTCTGACGGGCTGCAATCGATCCTTCTAATAAAATACACTACTTTTTCAAAGAAAAGCGCTTGTGTGTTCTCTGCAGAAAAATGTTTGTCTCTCAGTCTGTCCGTGTGTGTTTGTATTGAGAGAGTGAAACATTAATTTATATATAGACATATCTACATGTTTTGTTTTTTTTCCTGTGCCTGTAGTTCTACCTATCTATCTAATCGATTGCTGATTTATATTAAGCCTGCCTGTTTATATATATATATATATATATATATATATATATATTAAAGAGAAACTGTAAAAGTTCTAGGTTGTAATGTGGATTTTATGCATTATGCTTTATTTTTGATACTTTTGCTACACGCGTTTAGGAAATTTTGTCCTTCATCAGGAGATAAATGGCTATTTCCACATCTTATTTAAAGGAATTAATTTTTGTCTCATGTTTAACCATTGTATTTTGTGTGTGGTAGTAATCCAAATTCTTCTTGGACTTGCAGAAAAAATATTTTTTGTTTAAGGCGGAGTAAAATATTTAGGATTGGTCAGAGAAAGGAGAAGGAATGAGATTTGTTCTTATCTTTTTTATGTCCTCTGTCCTTTTTAGAACCTTCCTTCATTTTGGGGTATCGTGTTTTTTATATATATATATATATATATATATATATATATATATATATATATATATATATATACACACACACACTTCGTATGGTGTGCGCCTTATCCGTTCATGCTATTATATGTGTATATATTCGTTCTCCATACATATATACTATATTATAAAGAATTATATAAAGTAACTACTTTTATGGTGCATGTGTGTGTGGTCCGACGACTGTGTTTTGCCACTATGATTTGCTTAGTGTTGGCTTAAATTCGACTATGTAGATTTTCTTGTATTTTCCTGATTGAAGTATTGACATAATTTTAAATTTATCTTTGTTGCATTGATGGTTGTGTGACACACAGATTTTCCTGCTGTCTTGTGATTTAATGTTGCTTTTGTGAAGGGAATCTCTGTTGTGTTAGAGTGGTACCTATATAGCATGTGTGGCATTTTGTGTATAAAACACATTTTTAGAGTTGCAGTTTAATTTTTTCTTTATTGTAATATTGTGAGGTATTGATTCTCTCCCTTGTATACACATATATTTTATGTGTGGGCGCGTGTGCGCTACGTTTTTTATTTATTTATTTATCAATTGTTTTATTCTTTGTCAAACTTTACGGAAAACTTCTGAAAGTTTTCTGTCCTTTCTGTTGGACAGAGCTGTTCTATAAACAATGATCGAAGTTAAACATCAAGATATTCACAGTGGGATATAATGTCGCCAAAAAAACACAATGTAAGACTTTTTTCTCTCTAAAATTTGCCATTTCTCCTGAAAAGTGGTCTCTAGAGTTCTCGTTTTTTTTTTTTTTTTTTTTTTTTTTTACCCACATAATGTACTGAATGAATGCCTTCTAAGCCGTAGGTTATTCACCGAATCAAAGAATATCTCATAGCCAAACAATAGCATTATAAGCATATTCGTTTCGGAACATACATATATACGTAAAGTTGTAACGGTATCTGTCTATTTGTTTGTTATCGAACTCCTCTTAGTGTATTCGAGTTAGACCCCCATAAGTATATACATTCTGAAACCACCATTTTTTTTCATTTTGATTTAATTAAAATTTGAACAAGGGAATGACTCCAATCCAAAATATAGCCTTAGAAAGCCAAAAGATGGCGGTCACATCGGCCAGATCAAATTGAGAAAATACGGACGTCAAGTTGAGCAAGAAGTCACCAATCAATGGGTAGTGACTTACAATACATATTTGTTCAACAATTCAACTGTCACATCATTGTTGAAATCGGCACATTAATTCATTCAATAAAGTAGTGCATCAAATACATATCAAAGGGTTCAGATCAAACTGTTTTTCCACAAAGCAACCACTGAATTTTCCTTTTGATTTAGATTAAATTTAAATTTGTACAATGGCATGACTCCTATCCAAAATATAGGAGAAAGCAAGAACTGTGCAACATTCAATAATATCGTCCTTAATTATCTTGCCTGTTATTCGTTAATATTAACCGTGAAGATATTGATGTTGTGGTAAGAGGTACCGTCCGTCGCCTGCTCCAAAACATCCACCACAGCGTAGGGTATCGGATTTAAGTTTCGTTTACATGAGGACAGATATACGCTGATCAGAAATCTCTATTTCTTCTGATTTCAACTTACAAGTTCTACATTTCGTGCCTTTTAGGTAATCAGACGTGAGATATAATAAAACATAATACATTAGGATATAATTTAAAACCACTTTAACATCATTTTCAAGAAATATGTACAAGATTTTCTTCTTTCTTTTTCTTCTTGAAGACTATACCAGCCAAGACTAAAAGTTCTGAATTTGCCTTTGACGTGAAGTTTAACATCACGACGTCAGGGACGTTTTGAAATTCCAATCATTCTCTATTATTTTAATCGTTAATCTATGATTCTGGCAATA